ATGGGTTTTGAGCATTCTAACACTTCCTAAGTGTACATGCAACCCTAATAACCTTGAATCTATGTTTTCTCTATATACATGCAAATTTCTTTTTCAAGGTTATTTCCTAACTAGCATGGCATGGGGATTACATAAACATAAAACTAGTAGAAATACATACCTTGTTGTTGCTTGGATTCCTTCAAGACTTTGTGAGCCTAGCACCCCAAATGTTGTGCCTCAAATGCTTCACACAACACCACAAGACTTGGAATAACTTGAGAGAATACTTCTAGCACTCAAAATCGGTTATGCCCTCTCTAGTAACACTAGGTCTACTAGGTCACCATTTTGCTAGCCATAGGGTTCCTTTTATAGTGTTGTCACAATTAGGGTTTACACATGAATGCCCTTAATTGTCATGACTCTTGATTTCCCATGACCCATGGGTTGTAACTCCCATGGACTATCCATGGAGCTCCATATGGTTATAACCAAACCCATAACCATGGATCATTAATCCACCATAAAAGAATTGATGATTGTCATAATCAACCCTATATATTTAATTAGTCTCACTTTGATCACCAAATTAATCCTAGATTAATACTTGATCAATACTAATTAAATAATACTATTATTAATATATTAGAACTTATAATATATTAATAATCATAAGTGCCTTATTCTCTCATGTAGTCTATCCAAGTATTGCAATGCCATGCAACCCAAATGGACCATGCCGGGTCGGGTCAAGTACATACCAAATAAAGTTATGGACTTAGACACTATATCCAACAGTCTCCCACTTGGATAAGTCTAATAACTATATTTGCAAATATGACTTCAAAATCCGACTAGCAATCGTAGCTCTTTCAAAGTCTCTCGGAACTGAGATGATGATGATATACGCCATTTAAGATAAGTGATCATATAATCCTCTGTTCTCATGATATCAGCCGGACAAACACATGGAACATGGTCTTACTTATTGTCCAGCATTTGTTTCTCTCGATCTCTGATTTGTTTCGACATAGAACTAAATTGAACACATCAATTAGGTTCTGACCGGGCCCGGTACATAGGTCAAAACCAAATCATCGAGGGGCCCAGATATCGCTTCTATTTCTAGAAGGAACAGATAAACTTCGACTGATATGCTTGTACTAACTACTTGTTGAATTATTCACAAAGGCACGTTTTATGACATCGAGTTACCAATGCGTTTTCGTGCAATCAATGAATAACCAACTCATAGTCAACAACTCATATCTCTAGGTTTGAAGATTTATATGATATTACCGTCTCACTCACGATCACTCGAGATAAATTCCATGAAGTGATGCAAGTGAGCGTGGGTTGGATCCAATACTCAGCCCTTATGAGTACTCATGAATGTTGTAGCAACCATTGCATTGTCCAAAGCACTTTTAGACAAATCATACAAGCCAAATTCATGACAGTCTTAAATCAATACTTACTTCCAAAGTTTGACTGACTGTGGATGGTTTGAATAATAACATAATTATTCTGGAAGTAAAAACATGCAAAATTGAAACATAGTAAACAATCAACACAAGATAGTAACACCTTACTCATAAATAAATAACAACTTTTATTTATCATCAAATGTCAATTACATTTTACAAGTTTCAGGAATCTAATTATTGAAACTAATATCATCCTTCAGCCCAATGCGCCTCGCATGCTGTAAATGCTTAACCCTGCTCAGTCCCTTCGTGAGGGGATCTGCCGGGTTCTCATCTGATGATACCCTCTTAGCCACGAGGAGTCCTTCTTCTATTCGATGTCTGATGAAATGGTATTTTCTGTCAATGTGCCTAGATCTCCCGTGATCTCTTGGTTCCTTAGCCAAAGCAACCGCACTTTCGCTGTCACAGAAAATTTCCATTGGCTCTTTTATAGCTGGTACAACTCCAAGGTCTCCGATGAAGTTCTTTAGCCATATCGCCTCCTTAGCTGCTTCACTTGCTGCTATGTACTCTGATTCACAAGTAGAATCAGCTACTGTCTCCTGCTTGGAACTTTTCCAAGTAATTGCCCCTCCATTTAGGATAAAGACCCAGCCTGACTGAGAGCGGAAATTATCCCTATCAGTCTGGAAGCTAGCATCGCTATATCCTTCCACTCTCAAGTCATCACTCTGCCTCCGAGGGTAAGGACCCAATCCTTAGTCCTCCGCAGATACTTGAGAATGTTCTTTACCGCTGTCCAGTGTGCCTTGCCAGGGTTCCCTTGATATCTACTGACCATGCTCAAAGCAAAGGCCACATCAGGGCGAGTACAAGTCATAGCATACATGATCGAGCCCACAGCGGAAGCATATGGTATATGACTCATTTCAGCTATCTCAGCCTCTGTACTCGGACTCTGAGTTTACTCAGCTTGGCATTACTCTGGATTGGTAATTCTCCTTTCTTGAATCTTGCATACTGAACCTCTTCAGCACCTTATCCAAGTAAGTACTTTGACTAAGTCCAATTAGTCTCTTACTCCTATCTCTCAATATCCTTATCCCTAGGATATAGGCAGCTTCCCCAAGGTCCTTCATAGCGAAACACTTCCCAAGCCAGGACTTAACCTCCTGCAAGGTTGGGACGTCGTTTCCTATGAGAAGTATGTCATCCACATACAACACCAAGAAGCTAACTATGCTCCCACTAGCCCTGACATACACACAAGACTCATCCTCACTCCTAGAAAAGCCAAACTCTTTGACTTTCTCATCAAAGCAAAGATTCCATCTGCGAGATGCTTGTTTCAATCCATAAATGGATTTATCAAGCTACTTACACACTCTATTAGGGTATCTTGTATCGACAAACCCTCTGGTTGAGCCATGTAAACATCCTCAGCCAACTTTCCATTAAGGAAAGCGGTTTTGACATCCATTTGCCATATTTCATAATCATGAAATGCAGCTATGGCTAACAATACTCTAATAGACTTAATCTTAGCTACTGGTGAGAAGGTCTCATCATAGTCAACTCCCCGGAGTTTGAGTAAAGCCCTTCGCAACCAGTCGCGCTTTGTAAGTATGTACCTTCCCATCCATGTCGGTCTTCTTCTTGAAGATCCATTTGCACCCAACTGTCTTACGACCTGGTACATTGTCAACCAAGTTCCAAACTTGATTGTCATACATGGACTGAATCTCGCTGTCCATAGCCTCCTTCCATTTAGCAGACTCAGGGCCTGCCATGGCTTCCCTGTAATTATTAGGTTCATCCAAATCTATTAGTGTACTATCACTAATAAATGTATCACCTTCAGTGGTGATGTGATAACCATAATAAAAATCAGGTGTGTTCCTCACCCTAGTGGAACGTCTTGGAGGTACAGACTCATCTATCGGATCAACAGGAGTTTCCTCCTCAGGTTGGTCGATAGCATTTGAGGGTTCCTTCACCACTTGACTCTTGAAGCTCTTCAAGGTCAATTTGCCTCCCACTGTCCCCTTGGCTTATGAATT